GTCAAGGCTCGCCATGTTCTTGGCCTGGTTACCGATGAACGCAGCTCCGGTGCCACCACTGCAGTGAGCAAGGCCGGAAATACGGAACAGACGGTAAAACTCATCCAGCTCGGCCGGGGCCAGACCCATCGTCTGAGACACGTGCTCGTAGTACCTGGGCGAGTTATCGCTGGAGATCGTGCCGTCGATGAGGCCGTGGTAGTGCAGGAGCTTTCCACCGCGGTTCTGGAAAGGGGACAGGTCGCCGTCCCAGGTCTCGACGTTGAAGAGGTTCAGGCTCGATGAGCGCACATAGTCCTCGGGAGTAATCGTGGCCGGGTCCCAGGTCGAATCGTTCAAGATCGCGTACTTGAACCAGTCAGAGGCACCAAAGGGCTGTCCGTTGAAGTAGGTCTGCGGCGCACCGCTGAGCTCGGCGCCGGGTTGCATGCGCGGGTAGACGAGGTCGCCAGAGGCGTCGATCAGGGGCGCGTAGATGCCACGGAGGGTCTCAACCTGCTTCTGGGTAAGGCAGGCGTCTGTCTGGTTGCTGTTGACGCCGCAGAGGAGGCTTTCAGGCTTGTAGTCGCAGAGGTCGGGGGACTCGAGGAAGCCGTCCTTGACGCCGTCCAGCTCGTCGCACTGGGCCAGGATATCATCGTGGATAGTCGGCCACATGGTCATGGGAATGAAGGTGTCCGCGCCCTGCTGGCCGGTGAGGGGAAGGAAGTGGCAACTCCAGGAGGTGAGATTGTTGAAGGAGAAGGCCGGCGCTCCGGCGACGATGCCGTCAAAGTTCTCTGGGAAAGCCTGAGCCTGCTTGAAGCCCTGACGGCCTCCAGTAGAACAGCCGAGATAGTAGCTCTTCGTATGGGGCTTATTGTAGAATGACTTGGTAACGTCCTTGCCGACGACGACACCAGTCGTCAGGGCGCGGTACACGAAGTCCTCGATCACATCCTCGTTGTTCAGGAACGGGAGTCCGCTCATGCCATCGTGGCCGTTGTTGGTGGCCACGGAAGCGAAGCCAAGGGAGGACGCATACGCGAGATCCTCGTACTGAACGCAGCCACCGAGGGCGCCGTTGCCGGTGCTGAGGAAGCGGCCGGTCCAGTTCTCGGGCAGCCAAGCTTCGAACTTGAGACCAGAGCGAGGCGAGGTAGCGATGCGCGCGGTGACACGGCAGATGTTGGCCGTGACATTCTGAGAGGGACGACTGCAAGTGGGATCCGCGTTCGGGAACTGCAAGGTGGTTCCTGCTGGGACGTACTCGGAGGCGGTGGAGTTGGCCCCGTTGATACGTAGAGAAGTTGCAAAAGAGGCGCACTGTTGCTCAAAGGTCGTGTTACCCTTGGTCAGGGCAACGGCTTGAACACTTGGCGCCAGGGCGCCAAGAAGCATGAGTGGTAACATAATGAGAGACAAGCTTTTGTGAATGAAAGACTGAGTGAGTGTAAAGAATGCTGAGTGGTCCATGAAACAAGATCATGTGCAGGATGCGAAGCCGCGTTCCTTTTGTACACTTCAAGACATCGTACTTTTCCATAAGTTGAGCAAGGACGCGTAATTCAAACTCGAACGATTCATGCCCTCTCCAGAATACTTCCTAAATCTGGGTCACAGCTAGGGCAGCGGGAACACCGACATGTGGACGACTGTACAGTCTGTCGATATCGATGCTATTCAGGGATCCTACAATTTAGGTCAAAAAGCCGAGCAAAGTACTGTACCTCATGCAGTCCCGTTCTGCACCCCGCATAAAACAGTCTAATTACTGGCACCCAGCGCACATGGTGGTGGATAGAAACGCGCTTGGGTGCAATAGCCGGACCTAAACTCGGGCCCAAAGGGCCCAGACCTTGCCTGTATCTACCTTAGTATTTCACAAAGTCGCATGCTCCTGCCCCTTTGACAAGCTGCTGGTAGACAATAGCTCAAGCTTGTAGACTAGAACCGTATGAACTAAGCAATACCATCATCTGATCCTCGTTCGGTGTAGCGTCTACCTGCCTTTCGCGGACGAGGGAGGTGGTATTTTCAACGAGACACACAGCCTCCAACTCTTGTCTGTAGCATGGGGACCCCCCTTGACTACGCTCTACCTACCACCATCATTGCCCCTGAGGTGGCGCCAACTGCTGGGTGGAACAGCCCTGGCAATTTACTGGACAGCCCACTTCTTGTTATCAAGTATCCGTCACAACATTGCACAACGACGACACGGCAGTAGTTCACGTAAGCATACCGGGGAGGACATTTTCTGCTATAGGGCTACCGGGATAGGCAGTCAGATCTTCAGAGATCTTCAGTACCCCGGGGCCAATATGCTTCCGTCTCGGAACGCGGCACAGCGGACTCGATTACCGCCTCGTTGTGCAACGGTGGAGAGGACGGTGGACCCGGTCGAACTACTATGCGAGACCTGCGGCTAGATACTTCAGGCTGAGCATTATTTTGCTACAAGGCGTTTCCTAAGGGCTAATCTCACCCGTACCCGAAGTTTACTTCTTTCAGAATTCTAGCGTTAAGGATGTCAACTCAAAGGTATGAATCGCGCAAATGAGAAAAAAGACGGCACTTTCTTTAAGCTTAAGCCCTTTTACATATTGACAAATGACCTGTCACAATGTCTTGCCCACCTGAAGAGGGCTGTCATGTAGACCGGGCGGATTAGTCAACTCTCCGAAAGTCCTTGAGGGAATGACGAGATTACAGGAGAGCGATTACGTCGTCTCTCGACGATCGCAAAAGAGTACAGCCGGAGTTTACCAGCATAGTGGAGATAGATGCAGATGGCTGACACCTTAAACGAACCCTAGCCAGATGCTAAACTGTAAATAGGTGTGTACCCACCCCCGCGATGGCATGCTTAACCTTGACGGACAAGGACCCCGTCGGAGCTCTTCCGCGTACAGTTGTAAGGGGCGGGCAAATCTTTACCCACATACACTCTGACCAGTTGGCACTCTATGCCAGTTACTCGCTGTTCTCATACCTAGAGCAATGGGGTTTTCGGCTTGTATCTCCTTTCTATGTCCTTAACCTGATGCCGCAAAATACAACATGCTCTACCATGAGTTGTGTACATACCATCCCACATCTAAGCTAAGCCCAGAACCCACGCTTCAGCTTTTGCGTTGTACTATTTTCTGTTTCTCTTATTTGCCATTCAACGACCAATTGCTGCATAACGTCTCCATTGTTGGCGGCCATTGCGAAGTGTATCAAATACATAGATGGGCTGATATCCGTGCCCGAAATGTTGCACAGCCTCAAGAAACTTCAAGAGACAAGACCAAGTTTAGAATCACCGCCGATGGCCAAGAAAGCTGGGTCTACAGTGTTTTTCTTTGCAACAGGTGTTAGTCTAGTTGACAACAGGCCACATCGGATATCTCCCTGAGAGGAAAATTCCTACTTCATGATTTCTCTTCGGTGCCCATGTAACCTTACAAGCCTCGATGCCATCATATGAATGAGGAGCGGCTCTGAGCACGGATAAAGAAGCATGATCTCTTCACCCTCTAAGATATGGTAGTCAAAGTACATAAAGTTTTGTCAATGCCGAGGCTGTAGCTCGGAGACTCTGTCCGTCTGCAAAGGGTCTGATGTGGGCTGGCAAGCCTGACATGTGTCATGCCCCGGAGACGCGACGCTTTTCGGGATGATCTACACGGATCCAACTTGCCAATTCTGATTTCGCGGATCCTTGGCAGGGGAGACCATCTGTCCTTTCGCGCGCGGCTGTGTGCAAAGGGCCGGCTAATTCTCTGCACATGGCTGACAAAAGTAAAGACTGCGTTCTAGCCATTTTCTGGGCTCTACGATCGAATAACTTACACCCCTACTGAGTCTGATGGGGAAATCAGACCCATCTGTTATTGCCGTTGCAGCATTGGCCTCAGGTAACAATGTGCTGATTCCATGGGCTGAAGTTCCGGTAAAGAGCCATCGGCGGTCTGTAGCAATTATCTGCTCGAGTCTACGAAAATACTCCTAACTGTCTTTTGAGATGCTAAGGTGCCGGGTCCAATCAAAGTTACAGTCCTTGAGGAGACGGTTCTTCTATCCTCGAAGTTCTATCTTCGGGGTTGTTCGGTCGATGTTGACTTCCGTGCATGTGCTCTTCGTGCACTTAGTCAAATCAAGACGATGCATGATTCGAGAAGGAAGGAGAGTAGTATCTACTGATCTGTACTACTTTACGGGCGTGACCCAGATAGATTTTCTCCGAGTCTAAATGCAAAGAAGCCATTTTGTCCTACCAGACAGTATACATCTTCGCCGTCTTGTGCGCTACTACTCACTGGCTGGTTTCACTTCCAAATGATTTTCCAAAACCTGATAAGCCCCGGTATTTCATTAAAAGTTGAAAGCTTCATCCACACTTGTGAAGCAGGGCTAACCGAAAACGTCAGGTGTTTTCTGACTACTTACATCTCGGAACAGGTTTTACGACAAATGCTTGGAAGAATCAGGCTTGCGTCATCATGTTACACATCGAATGCTGCAGGCCCTATTGGGACTTTCACTAAAGCTTGAGAAGCAACCAATATGCATCACAACAACCCTGGTTCACGGAACCAACTCGCTAAATACGTATTCCCAGTCTTGCAAGGCAAGTGAGAAGCCCAATATTGCTTTGTACTGCTACAAAGTAAAAAGTGCCTCTTCCGGCTCTAGTTCAGACATTGTTCTTCGCACAATTGGCTGTCCCTTGCAGCCAGCCCCTAGATCAAGCTGGAATGACACGGTTTTTGTGAGGCCTTGACCGATCAGCAGAAGGAGTGAGCCAAGAGCTGCAAGTATCCACCGAGTGTCTCGCATCGCCAGTCACCGGCGTCCGCGGAACGTCCCCTCTTCTACGCGGGCAGGGCGGGTAGCTCTCCCGCCCTCAGGAGGCACACGTACTACGAACCGACCCCGGGCCGGCGATATATACGGGCGATTCCTATCAATACCTCCAATAACCTAAAACGTACAAGTCTTTCCCCTCAATTTCCCGCCTCCCAGTCAGATCGATGGCGCCATCACTAGAGCCGCGCACCTCTACTGGTGCGTCAGAGAGCCTCGACGACAATAGCGCCGGCAGCGGCAGCACCAGGCGATTTTGCTGGGAATGTCAGCGCCGGGGCTTGGTCTGCGATTCTAAACGTCCCGTATGCTCCAGGTGCAAGCTTAGCGGCATAGTGTGCCCTGGGTATGAGAACGTGAAGCCTTTGACCTGGGTGGCCCCCAATCAGGTTACAACGCGGACATGGAGGAGCGGACGAAAACCGAAAACTGATAAAATCGACATCGCCAAGAAGGGTTTGAAAGGCAGCGGCAAAAGAAAGGCGATACCAAAAATTCCAGAAGAAGAAGGTCGCCGGGTACAGCTTATCCATGTATTTCCCGGACAAGAGCTCCGGACGGAAACATGCGACATTGCTGAGGCTTCATTTTATTGTTAGTCAGACTTCCAAACAGCGCTCCAGAACCATGCTATCCCAATGGATCTACCTGAGCATGCCAAAAGATTTGGGCTGACAAGCACCTCGGTACCCATAGGGAACGAACAAGTTTACCCATACTTCTACGAGAACCAGCTCACTAAGAGCCCGTGGGTTGTACCAATTTCCCACATCCACGCTATGAGACCATACCGACGGCATGGCCTAGTCACTATGGCAATCGAGCACCGGATGTCACGCCTATCGCCTGCAAGGAATGACGCTTACGCAATTGAGGTCAGAGCTAGGGCCTATCAACATCGTCTTACAGCGATCCAGGCTTTAAATAAGGACATCGAGAACGAGAGTACGCGATGCTCTGATGCAACTCTGGCTGGCGTAATCGTCTTCCTTTTCGGTGATGTAAGGGAGAAAATGCCGTTAAACCCGTGCGCAACCTGACACTGATGGAATGTAGCTTATGGGGAGTGCAACAGAGCCTAACTGGCGTGTCCACTTGAATGGGTTTGCTGCGTTGATTGCTATGCGTGGTGGTTGGGATGCGTTCTGTCAAAAGTCGCCGCATCTCAAGTCCCTAGTGTTATTCTGTAAAGTGTGAGTGTCTCCTGTGCAATATGTGTTTTAGGCTACAGGGTTTAGAAGAGACTAGCCTTGCTTCAGCGTGGTAATCACAGCAAACGTCTCCTGCTACTAACTCCGGTCCGTTATCTATTAGCATCGAGAATCTCGCCAATACAACTAGCCCCGCCCACGACCAAATGTCGCCAGTCGCAAACTACAATATACGGAATGTAGTGAAGGACGTTTTCTCGATTGGATATTATCCCCAGCTTCCATGTCCAGTCGACTTACTCATCGACATCATTCACATCAACCGCCTTCGCTTCCAAGCAACATGCATTCAACCTAGAGTACCTCTCACCTCGATCAGGATTGAGGCAGAGCGTCTCCTAGATAAGATTTTAGACTATTCGCCTGAAGTCTGGTCTAGTAGCACGGAGCCTTTAGCAGATGGACACCTCTTAATGGCCAAGACCTATCGGTCGGCCGTGGCACTGTTCGGTATTTCCTCTCTGCAAAGTGTGAAGGTCATTCCTTTCTCGAAAGATTGGATGACCGTCAAGGAAACCCATCGTGACAGGCTGTTTTCTTTTCTCGAAGCTTCGCTTGCCTCTTCGGCATTGAAGATCTGCACCACATGGCCAATGATTGTGGCCGGGTTTGAGGCGAAGAGTGGAAACCTGTCCATGCGGAGCTTCGTCCTGGGGCGTATGAAGGAAGACAGTCAGAGGATGGGAATCTATCTTCCAGTCGCAGCTAAAGAGGTCCTAGAGAGATTTTATGCCTCTGCAGGAAACACCTGGGACGATTGTTTCGACAGTCCTCATGCGTTGTTCACGTAGGATGAAGGCAATAAGGAAACCAATCAAACATGCATAACCGATGAGTCCTTAGCAGAAGGCCAAGTGATGGCCCTGGGCTACTGTGACTAAAGTCAATGATGTTGGGAAAGGCTTCACCGGAAACACGCCCGAGTCATACTTTTTCGGCACCTCGGAAGCAGTGCAAACTCTATTCTGGCTTCAGGTGGTAGTTGGGATGTTGGGAGCAGCTCATCTTAAGGCGAAATCAGACATTTAGCGTCTCTTTAGTATTCGGGGGAGCCGCACCAGGAGTGGAGTGTAGTTGAATTAATCGCTGAAACCCAAATTGGCGGCTATATCCGAACCGGAGACTATTTCGACAAACTTACTCACAGCGCCCAGTCAGCGAATAGCACGAACGGCATTCTTGGCGAGGGAAAACACAGTGAGGCGACCAAGGGACTAAAACTTACCTTCGTTATTAGGCCCATAGGCAATTTCAACCAAACCTCTCATGGCTTGGTGGTTGACTTGCTATAACGGAGGCCTGACAGTTGCCTTTTATTCCTGGGCAAACCCAAATACAGTGATGTCAAAGAACCAAAGTGACGAAGTATGGAAGCACTCAAAGAAAGTTACGCCATAGTGGCCCTGAGCCCATTCTTATGGTTTGCTGGTAAATGAGGCCTTAAGCTGACTGAGAGGATGCACGGATATGGCAGGGGCACAAGTATATACGAATACTCTTGAATTCCCGAGCATCAATAGCCAGCTTCATCTGAGCGAGACTTCAAAGATTTGCTCTTGAACATTGAACCCAGACCAGCATGCAGTACTCCATGATCAACGTTCAAAAGTTGGCCCTTTGGGGCGCATTCAGCCTGATTGCTGTAAAGGCTCAAACCGATGACCTTCTACCTGGAGATGACAGCGAAGCTGTCTGGAAACCAATGGGAAAGGTTGATCCCTGGTATCTGCCCGCCGATGTAGTCGACGGTGGCGACAAAGATGGCTCTGGTAAGTCTTGACACCAGTCCTCACCACCGAGGCCAAACTCCAAAGCTGTATCCCGTAGCTAACCTTTCTTCAAGTCCTCCAAAAGGCCACTGGTAACCGTATCCGTTGCGGTGTTGTTGGCTACGACAAGGAAGACAATATCTGGATGATTCCCGCCAACGGCAACTTCGACCAGGTCGGCTACATTCTGCCTCGGGGTGGATATGATTCAAGGTCGGACAAGTCTATCGCAGACTGCGTACTGCGAGAGTCAAAGGAAGAAGGAGGTCTTATTATCGATATCAACTCGTTGATCCCCCTCGGACTCAGCAATGGCGGAGCAGTATACTGGTACAAGGGAAATGTTACTGAAACAGTCGAGCCGACCGAGCCCCGACCTAGACCACCAAAGGGCTTCACAGTCGACGATACGCGCGCGGAGCTGTTGAAGCCTCCGGGAAAGCCGGCAAAGAAGGCAGACATGCGCCAAGCATTCCACAATTCGGCTACAGCAGATGAATCTACCAGATATGAGCTCACCTTCACGGCAAAGGAGGGCAGCGCAACTGGCGGCTCAGACTACTCCGTGAAGGATCTTGGACGTTGGAAGGCGATCTACACCGATGGCTTCACAAACGGCGAACAAGCTATTATGAAGGTCCTTTGCGATGTTTACGGGTACAGAATTGTTGCCAATGAAGCGTGGGCAAGCCAGGTTCCCCTCGGCCTCAGTCTTAGCTCGGTCATTACACAGCTTTGGACAGCCACGACATTGGATATCAACGAGGTTACGTCCATCAAGTTCTCCGAAATCGTCGACCCGGCGACCCAAACCGCGATTAGCAACGCACGCACTGAGCTTGGAGAGAGTGCCGGAGGTTTCACTACGACTAATGACCTCGGTGAGACGAAGGGCTGGAACACCTTGATGGCTAGTCCTTACGGAGTGGTGGCTTCAGAAGTGGCTAAGGCGGCTGGCAAGGGAATCGCGGGAATCTCTATAACGGACGGCAACCCTTCGGAGATACTGTTCACACTAGAGCAGTAGCGGTAAGCCTTATGGTATTAGGCTTCAGGAGCAGCTTAGTATTTTGCACCGCGAAGACTTGTTTGCTCTATGTTATGGGTAGCAAATGGCACACCGTCCAATGCACACGTAAAGTAATTAACCACATAATCACATGACGGCTGCTATCCTTACAAGTAAACCAATACTTAGCGGTATCCAACTGAGATACTTTCATTACATGACTTGCAGAATTCGCCGAAACAAATAGCCTAATCCGTTAAAAATTGTGGTGGTGATGTTGGTATAAGGTAGGTGGAGGTCATGATGAAAAGGGCGATAAGGAGACCTCGGTATGAGACAGTACGGCGAGAAGTTAGGGATGAGTGGGAGATCATTTTGGAAGTACGCTCACCTAATGGATAGATTACCCTGTTAAGGTGTCAAGGCGTCAAGCTGTCCCAAGGTATTCAGGTCTGGGCCTATGGGAGCCAATGGACCGGTAATCCCAACTTACTTTCCAGTCATCTTGACAGCCTTGATGCCAGGGTAGGTAAGGGGAAATGAGAGAGGAATCGGTACAGGAAACGTCACGAAGTTCTTATTCGTTTAGAAATGTAAGAATCATGAGTGAGGTCTGGCTATCTTCCGACAGCTAAGGCTGCGTTTCGGGAGTAGTGAACAGAAGCTGCTTGCATCATACAGCATTTGCCCTTCATGCCTACCTAAGATTCTGCCCAGATTACTGTTGCATAGATGACTTGGAGATAAGTTGTTGGCCACTGAATCAACAACGGTCCTGAGCCGAAAAGAAGGATGAGTGTGGCGCGGACAATGTCGGCAGTAGTAACAAAGTCCACCTACGGAGCTAAGGAAAAAGGATGGGCAAGTAGAGCAGACAATTCCGAATTCTCAGTCGTAAAGGATTCTCCGAAATTGACATCCTGGAGAACAGATCGACTGGACTATGTGAGATTCAGATTGGCAGTCGTAGCTTCGAGTTAATATTGACTCTCACATCGTAGATGATGGTCCTTCCACACGTAGAAGTCCATTGCCTTTTTGAAAGATTGTGTGCCTGCCAAGCCAATCACTCTTTGATTTATGACGCAATGACACTTCCACCTCACGCCTGCCTTGCTCTTGACACATAAATACTTACTCAGAGATCTGGAAACCACCGCCGCTCGGCATAGGACCTTCTGGTTCTATCTCCACGTCACCCACGGGAAAGAGGCCTGCCAGCTTCCCGCTCGGCGAAAGATGTTTGTCTATCCTTCTTTCCACTTAAGTAATGTAAGCTACGTAACACAACATCCGTCGTCCACAGGCCGTTGAGGATATCCTTCCAGCTTTCTGAATAAAGAACACGATCGAAACATTTTGCCCCAGCATCTTGCCCCAACATCTTGTCCCGGCATTAGCCACATGGTGATTTGACCTGAAACAGGGAGACAAATCCACTGTGCCTAGCTGATTGCACTGGCTTGAACTGTCTTGAATTTTTGGTCGTGAAGTCTGAAGAACCTCTGGCCTGAACTGCTAGTCCTGTCATTTACGCTGCCGAAGTCGCCTTCTCGCGGCATGCGCAGTCCACAAGCCGCTACACCCGTAAAATGCCTATCCAGGTACCGACGGAGTGTCAAGATGTTTGTTTCAAGGTGCTCAAAGTAGTTTTAAACTTTGAAACTAATAAGGGCCCAATCTACGTTTTGACATCTTGACAGCCTGAGGAAAGGGTCACTTGAAAGTCAAGCGTTAAGCCTATCTCCGAACACCCTGATAGTTTGACGAAATGAATACAGGTGACGAGTCACATGAGCCCTGATGGGCGCGGTATAAACTCACACTTACCTTACGTATTAGGGCATTTATGGTCAACATATCCCTAATATCTTGTGGCTATTCCTAGTACTGCAGCTTGCACACTGAAGAGTCGTTCCGCCTTGTCTGATTTACCTAACTTATTCATTCACCGCTTCAGAAACGGAACATGGCTTTGAATGTACTCGTAGCGGCAATGCCGCATCTCATTCGGTCTAATAGATCGTACAGAGAAATTGCAGCTCGACGGAAAGACAATTGTCCAGAAACAAATCCTTTCCATGAGGCTCAAGCTGAATCGCAAAACTTGTCTTTAGCTCCACACACAACAGCCAACGCATGTGAAGAGTCACTACAAGCATTAGACTCGAACGCCAAAGTTTCGCAGCCTATCGATGGGCTGAAAAAAGATCCGGCGCAGCCTCTAGTCTTGCGCCGCTTCCTTCGATGGATAAAAGCTTTGCCGAGTCACCCGAAGAAGGAGAAGCCGGACTTAGGACCCGGTCTCGATCACGCCCTGCCACTCAACCTGCACCTGGCCATCGCCAAACACCTCACTATGGCCGAACGCGTGGCCTTGGCATTGACGAGCAAAAGAATGCTGGCATTCATGTCAAACGAGCAGTTTTGGCTAAATCGGGGGTCTAGTGAACGTCTGGATCTGTTGAAGCTACTAGAGAGGGACGCCATCAACACACGCAGGGAGATTCTTTGTTTGCCCTGTCAGATTTTCCATGATCCCGTCTTATCGGTTCCGCCAGTCGACCACAGCTCAAGTTGGGCACCGACCGAATCAGATCGCCCCTGCGTCAAAGCAGTCTCAGAGGACCAGCACCAGAGATTGTCGTCTCCCTACCTTCCATACGATTTTCATTTCAATATGGTCAAGGCCTTCCTAGTTTCGAAACGCGATAAAAGGGGCTTCTTTCAATCAATACTCCTAGAACAGGCTACTATTTGGGGTTACTGCTATAAAAGAGAGGAAGCCAACGTCCAACAAGGCTTTGAATGTAGGGTGTCAAGCGAAGGGGATTTGCTAGTGAAGACGACTACGAGACTCTTTGCTTGCCGCGACCCAAACCAGACGAAGGATAAAGTTCGATTCGCCGTTGGAATTCTCAAACGAGCCGAGCTTACAACATGCTGCAAACACGTTGACTGGATAGACACATACCCCTTCATATTCGACTACGATGGACTCCTTGCCGATCAGAGCAAACTTCACGCATACCGCGCTTCGAAAGGGTACGGATACGATCCGGCGAAGAAAATTCGCGACATTTGGAACCCAGCCGTCAAGCCGCGATATGGACCCAAAAACCACATATCGATCACGCACTGCGAGTCTTGTTATACGAATTACGAGTACGAATGGAAGGACACCGAGGACGGAAGTCGCATCGTTTTTCTCATCTCGTACAAAAATCTAGGCAAGGGCATGGATACGAATGATCCCAAGTGGTCATCGCATTTCCACGACCATGTCCCTGATGCAAAAGCCGAGCCTCGCAACTCCCACTACGACGGGTTCACTCGGTGGCCTAACTATCATTGGCAGGAGAATGCTGATGAGGCACCGTGGGACCCAGATTATTAGGTTCCTTCCATGTACCTTACTTAGTTACCATGCTGGGTCATTGGGGGCTTAAGAAAGGCCAGAGGCGACCTTGCGCTAGCAAGCTGCTCACCACATGTCAATCCATTAAGCGATTGCTTGTCAACATACCGCTCTACTAAGGTCATTGAGGTTCGGTTCGGAGGAAACGCGATCGGGGCCGACAGGAGTTTGGAAGTCCATCCAGACGTGGGGTGACGGTAATAGGAAACGCTGTCTCCTGGAGTTCTGAGAATGTATTGGCGCTTTAGATTGAATTAATGATTTCTCAGTTGAGAAACCACCGAAAAAATTGTTCCACTAAATCCGAGCATGAGATTGATGATGTCAAGACTTCCCTGATCATCCCAAGTTGATCGCTGTGACAGTTGGATGTGGCTGAAAATAAGGTGTGGCGTCCACGGATTTCAAAGCACGCGATAACCCCCCGCATGCACGCGATAGCGAAACAGTTATCAATTAGTAAGAGCCCCCGAGAGCCGCGACTTTCCTTTATCAACGTTAACGACACAATCACGGATACCAACCGCAGAACCAGGTAGTGTCGACATCTTTGAGTTGGAACCATGGCAGCACAAAAAGACTTGGAAAGCCAACCGCAGCAGTCGGACGAGCGGACCCCGCTCCTGGGGACATCCGCCGAGGCCGGATCAAGCCAGCAGCCGGTAGAGCATCGGAACGACGATAACGGAGCCAACGAAGGCATTCAAGATCCGGAGCAGGTGCCCCTCATCACGGGCCCGAATGGAGAGGAAAAGAGGGAGAGGACGACTAGCTGGTGGTTATGGCGGGCGTTCTGGGCAGTTCTCGCCATCTTCGTCCTGGCAGTCTTTATCAAAGGCTGGATTGATGCCAAAGATACTAACGTAAGTCGGTTGGACGATGGGTCAAGTAAATCAATAACTGACACATTATCACTTAGTTTGACCTCAAAGCAGCTCTTATGAGAGCTCTAGGTGGTGGCTTGAGTGGTGCCGCGGCTATGGTCTTGCAAGTTTTAACACTCATGGTACGTACTTGAGTGAGAATAGGCGGAAGACGAGGCTTTGTTGCCAGTGAGTAGGGACGTTACTAATTGCATATTACCACTAGCCCATCCGAACTATCATGAACTATCAGTATCGTTTTGGATCTGGCTTCAGGGAGGCAACTCGCACTCTTTATGAAGATGGAGGAGTGCGCAGGTACTACCAGGGAATCGGAGCCGCACTGATTCAGGGTATGCGGTGCATGCACCTTTCTTCTTGACGCCATCATGTCAGAGTTGTGCTCACATATCTGTGAATAGGACCGGTCTCCCGCTTCGGCGACACTGCCGCTAACGCAGGTATCCTTGCCCTCCTCGAGTCGAATTCGTTCTTGAATCAGCTCCCTACCCTCATCAAGACCATCTTTGCCTCTCTTTGGTAAGCTTTTCAATACCTTCATCCTTTTCGCTCAACCGTAAAGCCATCATTAGAACGAATGCTGATGTAGAGTGACTTTGAAGTGCTGCTGCCTTCCGCATGATCTTAACTCCCATCGATACCTTGAAGACGACGTTGCAGGCCCAGGGAGCGAAGGGTACCGCTATTTTGAGACAGCGCGTCAAGACAAATGGCATCGGTAGCTTGTGGTGGGGAGCTTTTGCGACTGCCGCCGCCACATTTGTCGGCCACTACCCTTGGTTTGGCACCGTCAGTTCAAGACTTTTCCTACACTGCAGGTGCAAGTCAAAACTAACGATCATTGGTAGTACAATTACCTTTCCGCCAACATTCCCGAACCGGACAAGAGTGATATCTTCGTTTGGCTTTTGCGTCTTGCTTTCATTGGATTTTGCGCCTCCGTCATCTCTGATTCTGTTTCCAATTCGTTGAGAGTGGTAAAGACCTACAGACAAGTCAACGACACGCAGATTTCGTACTGTACGTCAACGCTTCTCCTGATGAACCCTGTCAAACATTCTCTATGTGCTTGTCTTACTGACTGGGACCTTGCCAAAATTGCAGCCCAAGCCGCAAAGATCGTCATACAAAGAGAAGGCTTCCTCGGCTTCCTCGGACGTGGCCTCAAGACCCGAATCTTGGCCAACGGTCTTCAGGGCGTGTTGTTCTCTATCCTTTGGAAGTTGTTCCTCGACCTGTGAGTTACACGCCGGCTGCCCCCTTACATAACAGTTCTAACTCTGAACAGCTGGGAGAAGAAGACACACTCTTAGTGTTCATCACATTGGATCTTGCTGGACAGCCCTGAATAAGGTAAAGGAGGAATTTGAGAACCATCTAGCTCTCTGCGAGCAATCGTTATAGAGAAGGAACGAAGAATGCCCTGAAGGGGCAATATAGATGGGCATTGTCATAATTCGAGTATGAGAGTTGTATTTACATGGAGTATGAAGTGTGCATTCGCGTTGGTGCGGAGCTCATTCGATATCTCCTGCCTCAAAGTCAGCCGCTTCTTGCTATCCGGCAGTCTGGCCAGCAAATTCGACCCCAACAGCTCGAGCTGGCACACATGGGGCCTCTGGTGTAGCAAAAGACGAAAAAGGAGAGTGTCCCTCGCGAAAACTGCTCCAATCAAGTACATCCTATAGTAAGTGGGTGAGTGGTGCTGGTGTCCGTCCTAAGAAAGTTCAACTAGTCCACGGTCTTATGCATCAACCCCTCCTCCAACTTTGTGTTACCCATGACGTGGTAATTTGTTATCAGATGTAGAGACAAATGTGAGCGGCAGCTTGATACCGCAAAGAAACCCACCCTAGAGCCAAGACATATGTATGTCTGACCTGAGAGTATGACTGAACCGACGGGCCCGAAGGACCTGATTTATACCCGCGGTTCTAGTTGAAATTAGAGTGCAAGGTAAGGGTGATCGACAGTCTTCTAGTCCTCGAAAATATCTTCCACTTCTGAACGCCTTCGGAAGCACGTTTCGGCAAGTATATGCGCCCATTTACTTTAGAAAATTCAGCCCATGCATGAATTGTGTCACAGTGAGGAAGTGCGGATAGAGGTTCCGTTCATTCCTGTCGTATCACAAGTACATAGCCCGTCACTTGGGCTTGCGTCCCCAACAAAAATGATTCCGTTGGTCGTCGTTCTCGAAAGAGTTTGACCCGCTTATACGGAAAGCGATAGAAATCAGGATATTTATCTCACTCGAGCCTTGCTTGGAAGGTACATAGTCATTAGTCCCCGACTTGTAGCTTGGTGGCACATACAGCCGGGATATGCAGCGAGCTACTTGGCACATAACAGTTGTGGTCAACTGAAATTTTGAGCACTGCGAAGTAAATCAAAAGCCGTGGTTTGTTGATTCTAAAGATGCCAGATCCTTGCTAGTCGCTTTGTCTGCATGCTACGAGGCGTCTCTGGGCTGATTCCAATGTAACCCAGGCCAGCTTCGATGTGCGAAGAAGGTTGAGGCTGCCTCGAGGGAGACATCAGGCAGCTTGTTCGGATTTTGTTCCAGAGACTTAGGTGATCAACTGGAGCTGAGAAGCTTGTCTTCAATCAGATACAGTGGCTTTTCCTTCTCGGATGTCCCAATCAGAGGCGCAAGATAAAGTAGATCGAACTGGAGCCGGATCCGGTTCGTGATCTCCTGTGCCTACCATGTTTGAATCTTTTTCGAGAACATGAAATGCCGAACGCATTCTGTCTAGCAAAAAGGCGTCGACAATACAGAAACTAATGTCAATTGTCTCGTATTGACGTGGTCTTCACTCTTTTGAGGTGGACAGGGTTTATGGAAACGACGCTGATAAGGCACAATTACGACAGAAGCCGACTTGTGTGGCGAGCCCTCGCGGGATATCCAATCCTGAGGAAGATCGCGACAGTCGAATCTTCTCGTATGGAGTTGAATGTGGCTTCAAGACATCGTTGAGAATTAAAGACACTAAGAAAGCCCACGAACCAATGGGGCAATCCCGCTGTCAAAACCCCGGCTAAGAACGTTGAGGTTCCACATTACGGACTTCCCCAGTCCCCGCTCCGAATTCTGGCATCACAGTGACAGTGATTTGGTCTGGCTACCTAGACTTCTGGTACCCCTTGCAGCTGCTTCCTTCTGCCTTGTTCCTGTCAATTACCCCCTAGGGTGGGAGTCGCTGCCTGGCGCGTACGCCGACGCGGGAGGCTTCCGCGACCAGTCTGTTCGTCCCGTCTCGCGATCTCGCGAGTTCGATGTCATCCGATGTGTCCAACCACTAGCATACGAGATGACATCTGATGTAGCCAGTCGCTGGATATCTCACACAACCCAATGAACATTTCAAGAGGCTCGCCCCCACAGGTTAAGAAGTATCTTTCGGCGATCTTTGCCCCGCGGGCAGAGGGGGCGCCATGACTGCATGTCAGCACGGCACTGAGAGTGCCGCCTGTTTGAGCAGACTACTGTCCAATCTCGTATCTTACTGCGTCAGAAGCGCGAGTTCGTCCTGAGACTCTCACTGGCACGAAACTACAGGTACAGTGTCATGTCGTGCACGTAGTAAGCCCTTATAGTGCATACCCGCGCTCCTGATGGCTCGTTCCCGCGCGTGCTCGGACGAATTTAACGAGCCAATCTCGTACAAGCTATCTCGAAAATTCCAACGTCATATTTGAATTAGTTTAGTATAATCAGAGAAGAATCTGAAGTTGATAAACGTAAACAAAGTGAGAGAATCAGGCATGTGACGGAATATTTTGCTAGACCTTTAGCGCAACTCTGGATGGTGTCAAGGGTCCTAGACGGAATTGGCTGTGGCCAAGTCACGATGTGACACTGCCCCTGCCATGCGGCGCAGGCGTCTTTTCTATCCCTGCCTGTAAATCCTGCAGGTCTCTCATCGGAACGATTGAGCCTGTCAATGGGGTCTTGAGACATATCCCGCCCTACTGATTTGCCTCAGCGATAAATCTGAGCGCAACAACAGGCTGCCATCTTTTGCTTACACAGGAATGGCCGATGTACCTCTCAGGGCGTCTATTTGCCAGATCGGGGAAGTCAGCGACGAAATGTGCGAGCATCTAGAGCTAAGCTATCACTTGGCGGCAATGTTCATGGCTGAAAGGAAGCACAGATGCGAGGGAGGCTTATCCTACAGACCCATAGCTCGCTCTGCTTCGGACTTCACGGAGTCAATATCGTGCGATTCCATTCCGAAAGCAGGCAATCGCAAGATTTTGATGCCCGTTTAAGGCGTGCCGAATCGAACTCATGTACACGTCGCGCCGTGTAACAAGCATCGCTATGCGGTCTCCGGCGTGATGAAGAGCGTTTGAACGCTCCCATTTGTTGTTTTCCCGCACTTTCAGCTGGGAATGCCGATGACATTCAAATCCTGATCTCTTCACAGAAAGGAACTTTGGATGGTCTCGACCAAGTCGACCCACCCAAAGGTCTTCCGGCAAGTTTACCAGCCCTACATGCAGCAAGGTTGAGTAACTGCTTCTCGGAATCTCGGGTAGTCACGTAGCAGTATATCTATCTACAATGCCACCCCTCCACTGTCTCCATTTCCCCTTCCTGGCTCCCAAGAGCATTCACTGTCACCCTCTTCTCAAGCAGGAAACTTTGAGAGCCTCATTATGGAGAGCTTTACTCTCGTCATATTTTATCTTGGCATCCTAGTGGTGCCTGGTTTCCTATTCTCTTCCCTCCGACGCTTGCTAGGATGGTCCACAAAAACATCCGTGGATGGCAAGACATCCAAGTCTCCTGCCAGATTCCCTGGTCCCAAGCAATACCCAGTCGTCGGCCGGGTTCATGACTTGCCCAGATTTGCCATGTGGCTCAAGCTCAAGGAATGGGCAGATGAGTTCGGGCCAATCTATCAAACCAGCATGCTTGGCCAGAAGTTCGTAATCATTTCTGACGAAGGAATGGCTCAAGATCTTCTCATCAAAGATGGCAACAAATTCGCCGGAAGACCCCAGATCAGGGCGCTCATTGATCATAAGTTGGGTCCGGCATACTCTGCTTTGATGGACCGCCATGGTGAGTGACACAATAACCATGATTAATTTGACAATTGACCCGAGGCTGAGTTGATCAACAGACACTTGGAAACATCAAAGAAAATGGGTCCATGCGGCTATGGCGGCTGCTCATCAGCATCACTTCTATGGCCATATCGAGAACGAGGTCAAGCGGTGGCTGGTGACCCTCCTTGTCGACCCAGAGAAATTTCACGGCAACACTCGCGAGCTGACAGGGCGCATCATCAGTCGCCTTGCTTGGGATGACTCCACACAAGGACGGGCCTATGGCGAGAGTGCCATTGAGACCTTGACAAGGATGTCCATCTCTGGCCCCATTGTCAACACCATGACACCACTATGGCACATTGCAGACCTCGTTCGATACAATCCTTGGCGCAAGTACGAAGTGAACCGAGAGAAGAACCAGCGTGCTTGGTGGTTGAAAACATTCAGGCTCTCCAAGGCAAGATATCTGAGAGGAGACTTGCCATCAGACACATGGACCTACCGGTACTTCGAGCAGCTACAGAAGAGTGGAAATGAGACTCTTAAGCAGACTGAAAAGGCCGAAGACTTCGCAGCCTGCATGCTTGGCTTCCAGTGCCTTGTTGGAGTGGTCACTATTTCTGGGCCTCTGCAGTTCTTCTTGATGTGCATGGCGCTTCACCCCGAGTGGTTAAAGAAATGCCAAGAGGAGATTGACAGGGCCTGTGGCGATAGGATGCCAACTCGTGACGACTTCACCGAACTTCCAACCGTAAGAGCTTGTTTGAAAGAGACCCTCCGGTGGAGGTCTGGGGTGCCTCTTGGTAAGTAGACCGTTGCAGAGATGAGGAACTTTGAGTTGATATGAGTACTGACTACATCTGTTCAGGGGTTCCCCATCAATGCGAGCAGGATTCTGAATTCCGCGGCGTGAGAATCGAGAAAGGAACAATTATCCTTGCATGCGAGTGGTATGTCACCCCGCGCTGATCTTAACCAAGCCTTGATTGACGCGACCCAACTGCAGGAACATCAATCGTGTCCCGGAAAAGTACCCCGACCCAGAACATTACCGCCCGGATCGCTACCTAGATCCCAGCTTTCCTACGTATCAGGAGCCTCTCAGCCGGTACCCGAACTTCCGCGATGGTGTCGGCATGCATACGTTTGGGTGGGGTCGTCGAACATGCCTGGGCCAGAACCTAGTAGATGACGAGATGTTCGTCGCTGGAGCAGGCGTATGCTGGGCCTTTGACATGAGCCT